GTCCCGTATAAGGTAGGACAACTACAGGTAGGTCAGGAACATGGTAGGTCAGTCACATGTTAGGTCAGACACAGGTAAGTCAGTCACAGCGTAGGTCGGCCTGGTTGAGTGCTGGGCGTGGAAAATCAGCACGGAGGGTCCGAGATACCAATCCTGTGAGGGGCAAGGAACCGTCAAGGGGCTCTGATAGTCTCTTGGCGGTGTGAAGAAGCCGTAGGAGAGTCGGTATGTCACTGAAGTTGCACGTTGGCCCCCGTTGACAGAGCCATGAGCACTTTGATCGTGGGCTGTGAGCCTAAGCTTGCACACGGCTTGAAACGCGGAGGTGGAAGGGATAAGGAGGATATTACTCTGTTTAGGGTTTCGCAGACTGTCGTGCTTCCGCGGTTTTCGAAGTGACTCAGAAGCGGCGCGGGGATAAATCGATCTGCAGCGCGTGACAGGCTCGAAATTATGCGAGAAAAGGAGGCGGGAGACGAGGGCCAAGAATACTAGTGACGAGAGGACAGCGCGGAAGATATACGACTAGCAACGAGGAAACGGCGCCACCGTGAGTCGTACTGGACTCGTAGGAACGATTTGATTCACCTTCTCTTACAACGTACGGTTAATATGCGTCACGACTCACCACACACTGGGTACTTGCTGAACTTTGTTGGAGTAGGAAGGAGTCAAAAGCGATTTCAAATCGTCACCCAGCACTCGGAACAAATCCAGTTCGAATTGAGTGCAAATCGAGTTTGGCACATGCATTGGCTTCGAGAACACAACCAATGAGTTCGTATAGTTACCACCTGTTTTGGAGAAACTGTTCGCCGAGTTTTTTCCGCGGACCGAAGTGCCAAACAAGCAAGACTTGTGTCGTTCTCACGTCAGCCCAGCACGTGCCTTAACCAAGGTACGAATTTTGGGCGACTCTTGTTTCGAAGCCCAAAGCAGCATTCTTTCGTTGACCAGTTACCCCTCTAGATGCCAGTTCGCCAGCCCCGTATTATCGTTGAATGAGGCTGAATCTGCTGTCACAATTTTATCGAGTGCTGCACTTGCAATGCCCGGCACACACATGCTCACCGACCGTCTTAGTTTCTGTAGGATCTACGAGTGTAAGGAATTTCGCTAATTCCTTACTGAGGGCACCTCTTACGCGTTCAATTCCAACTTTTCGGAATTCAGGCTCGGTCCGTCGACCTCGCCTCCCGAACGTCTCCCGCGTCGCCTTCGGGTTTCCCAACCCCAAACCTACACCCAACCTTCGCGCGACTCCGCGACCTCGGCTTAGCTAGCTGTGCTATATTATGCCTAGGCCTCGTTGTTTGCTCAGTAGTTGTAATCACTTCCGCGATATTGCATTCTGCGCACTCTTCTTTCATACAACTCATAACACCTGGTATCAGAGCTACTTTCCTAGGTTACCCTCCACTTTCCGGGGTAGTTTAGTACAGGGGTGCGATAGGTTTGGTAGGCTGCAAAGCGGTCGGCTGAGAGATAGATACGATTATCTCGCTCCGACTAATAGTGTTTGCGCCTTCATCAAAACCATAAAAATCGTTGTTAACCCCCTGCCCGTTAGACGAAGCCTGCGACACATGGACCAGGCGGAGTTCAACGAGCTCATGCTACAGTTCCGGGCGATGCAGGCCAACATGCAGACTATGTCTGGCGAGTTGGATCGCCTGAGGGCGGAAAACGCCGAGCTACGCCAGACGCGAGGTGAAGCGCGTCAGGAGTCGCCCGCCGGGGATGAAGCAAGTAGCAGTTTCGCACCTAGCGACGAGGTCCTCAGCGAGCTACAGAACTCGCTGGACGCTGAAGATGAGTGGACGGCACGGATGCAACGAGCACAAGGGGCAGGAGGAACAACAGTCACAGCCGCAGCAACAGACACGAGCGGAGCCGAGGCAACAGTCGCAGACTACGCCACGACAGGCAATAGCGACATCCTCGGTGATGGCTTCAATGGCGCCCCCGATGCATGCAGCAGCAACAGTCTCAACAACTGTTAAAATAAAGCCGAAGAAGAACCCGCCCCGTTCAACCCCAGCGACGAAACCGTCACTGTGTCGGCATGGTTGTTCGGTGTAGAGGTCGACGGTAGGGCGACGGGGCCGGTACGTAGGTAGGGCGACGGGGCCGGGGCCGTAGGTAGGGCGACGGGGCCGGGTCGAAGGTAGGGCGACGGGGCCGGTACGCAGGTAGGGCGACGGGGCCGGGGCGCAGGTAGGGCGACGGGGCCTGGGTCGGAGTGGGGCGATGGGGCCGGGGTCGCAAGTAGGGCTACGGGGCCGGGGCGCAGGTAGGGCGACGGGGCCGAGGCTCAGGTAGGGCGACGGGGCCGGGGCCCGTAGGTAGGGCGACGGGGTCGCTAGGGCGACGAATCAGGGGCCGCTAAGGCGGCTCGACGTGGCCGCTAGGGCGGCTCGACGAAGTCAGAGAGGGGAGCGCGACTCGGGCTGAGTGCGCTCCGGGCAGGAAAAAAAAATCGACTTGGTGGGCCCTAGGCACAGTTCCCACGAGGGAACCTGCTCGATACCATGAGAAAACTGAAACGAGAATGAGTGCACTAAGGAATGGAATGTGGTACAAATATGCAACCCTAGAAATGTGTACCCCATATAGGCTACCCCACTACAGCCTACACAAGATTATAATTTGACAGCTACATGTACCGCCTCGAACCTATCGGACCGATCTCCTTGCAATCAAGTCACTGCAGGAGGGCAGTGCAGGCTGCCCTGCATGGCAGCCGGGTTTCACGCAGGAGATGCTGTTCGCCCTCGCTGCTTACTATGGTCCGTCACACATGCCAATCCATTCCATCTCAGCCCGCTTTCCTCCCTTCTTATTCTTCATATGTATGTGTCTTTTTGTGTTGCATAAGATCAATCAAACGTCTTCCTTTTGCCATAAGCCGCCGCATATGTGCTCTTGCCTCCCTCCCATCATCTCCCTCGTTCCACCCATTCTATTTCTCCCGACTGCCAATTTCATCCTCCCTTGCATTCCCCTTCCCTTGCCTTGCCCCTCCCCGTTCCCCAGGGACCCTGCATGGCAGCAAAGGTGCACTACGAGGAGGTCACACTGGAGATGCTGCTCGGCCTCGCTTCTTACATCCGGTCAGACATTCACTCATGCCCTGCAATCCATCCCAACCAGCCTTCTTCTTATTCGCCATCTGTATCCTCAACACTCGTGCTTCGTTACATGCATTTTGACCACATGCATTTTTTTTTTACCCGGCTTGACCACGTGCTTCACACTTTACCAGGAATTTTGACACTCCTGCGAAGCAACCACATGCATTTTGCTCGAGTAACCACATGCATGTTTTTTCCATAAGCTGCAGAAGCTGAGGGTAGGTTTCTCTCCCCTCCCTCCCTCTCCCCCTCCCTCCTTTTCTCCCTACCTCCCTCCTTTCTCCCTCCCGCCTTCCTCCCTCCCTCCCTCCCTCTCCTCTAGTTTGTCTTTTGAGCTGTTCAAATCACAATAACGCAAGCTTTTGTCTCCCCCTTTCTTTTCCCAAGCCCACTCTTTTTCCCGCCGCCCCCTCTCTCTCCGTTTCCTCTTCTCCCCTCTCCCCCCCCCGCTCTCCTTCCCCTTTTCCCCTCTTCTTCTTCCCGCCCTTCTCCTTTTCCCCACCCCGTCTCCTTCCCCCTTAGCCCCTTTCCTCCCCCGGCCCCATTCTGGGGGGGCTGCCAGGAAGGCGCCGTGGAGTGGGGCACTGTTCAGTGCTCCCAGTGACGGCCGGGCCAGCAAGTAGTGGTTCATTCTCATCCCACCCTCTGGTCTCATTCTCTGCAGTGACTCATTCACATTCCCACTCTCTTGTTTCCTTCTCTGCAGTGATTCATTCTCATCCCACCCTCTGGTCTCATTCTCTGCAGTGACTCATTCACATTCCCACTCTCTGGTTTCCTTCTCTGCAGTGACGCATTCATATCCCACCCTCTGGTCTCATTCTCTGCAGTGACTCATTCACATTCCCACTCTCTGGTTTCCTTCTCTGCAGTGATTCATTCTCATCCCCACCCTCTGGTCTCATTCTCTGCAGTGACTCATTCACATTTGCACTCTCTGGTTTCCTTCTCTGCAGTGATTCATTCTCATCCCACCCTCTGGTCTCATTCTCTGCAGTTACTCATTCACATTCCCACTCTCTGGTTTCCTTCTCTGCAATGACCCATTCACATTCCCACTCTCTGGTTTCCTTCTCTGCAGTGATTCATTCTCATCCCATCCTCTGGTCTCATTCTCTGCAGTGACTCATTCACATTCCCACTCTCTGGTTTCCTTCTCTGCAATGACTCATTCACATCCCCACTCTCTGGTTTCGTTCTCTGCAGTGATTCATTCTCATCCCACCCTCTGGTCTCATTCTCTGCAGTGACTCATTCACATTCCCACTCTCTGGTTTCCTTCGCTGCAGTGATTCATTCTCATCCCACCCTCTGGTCTCATTACCTGCAGTGACTCATTCACATTCGCACTCTCTGGTTTCCTTCTCTGCAGTGATTCATTCTCATCCCACCCTCTGATCTCATTCTCTGCAGTGACTCATTCACATTCCCACTCTCTGGTTTCCTTCTCTGCGGTGATTCATTCACATTCCCACTCTCTGGTTTCCTTCTCTGCAGTGATTCATTCTCATCCCACCCTCTGGTCTCATTCTCTGCAGTGACTCATTCACATTCCCACTCTCTGGTTTCCTTCTCTGCAGTGATTCATTCTCATCCCACCCTCTGGTCTCATTCTCTGCAGTGACTCATTCCCATTCCCACTCTCTGGTTTCCTTCGCTGCAGTGATTCATTCTCATCCCACCCTCTGGTCTCATTACCTGCAGTGACTCATTTCACATTCGCACTCTCTGGTTTCCTTCTCTGCAGTGATTCATTCTCATCCCACCCTCTGATCTCATTCTCTGCAGTGACTCATTCACATTCCCACTCTCTGGTTTCCTTCTCTTCGGTGATTCATTCACATTCCCACTCTCTGGTTCCTTCTCTGCAGTGATTCATTCTCATCCCACCCTCTGGTCTCATTCTCTGCAGTGACTCATTCACATTCCCACTCTCTGGTTTCCTTCTCTGCAGTGATTCATTCTCATCCCACCCTCTGGTCTCATTCTCTGCAGTGACTCATTCCCATTCCCACTCTCTGGTTTCCTTCTCTGCAGTGATTCATTCTCATCCCACCCTCTGGTCTCATTCTCTGCAGTGACTCATTCACATTCGCACTCTCTGGTTTTCTTCTCTGCAGTGATTCATTTCATCCCACCCTCTGGTCTCATTACCTGCAGTGACTCATTCACATTCGCACTCTCTGGTTTCCTTCTCTGCAGTGATTCATTCTCATCCCACCCTCTGGTCTCATTCTCTGCAGTGACTCATTCCCATTCCCACTCTCTGGTTTCTTCTCTGCAGTGATTCATTCTCATCCCACCCTCTGGTCTCATTCTCTGCAGTGACTCATTCACATTCGCACTCTCTGGTTTTCTTCTCTGCAGTGATTCATTCTCATCCCACCTCTGGTCTCATTACCTGCAGTGACTCATTCACATTCGCACTCTCGGTTTCCTTCTCTGCAGTGATTCATTCTCATCCCACCCTCTGGTCTCATTCTCTGCAGTGACTCATTCACATTCGCACTCTCTGGTTTCCTTCTCTGCAGTGACTCATTCACATTCCCACTCTCTGGTTTCCTTCTCTGCACTGATTCATTCTCATCCCACCCTCTGGTCTCATTCTCTGCAGTGACTCATTCACATTCCCACTCTCTGGTTTCCTTCTCTGCAGTGATTCATTCTCATCCCACCCTCTGGTCTCATTCTCTGCAGTGACTCATTCCCATTCCCACTCTCTGGTTTCCTTCGCTGCAGTGATTCATTCTCATCCCACCCTCTGGTCTCATTACCTGCAGTGACTCATTCACATTCCCACTCTCTGGTTTCCTTCTCTGCAGTGATTCATTCTCATCCCTGCCTCTGGTCTCATTCTCTGCAGTGACATATACTCATTCCCAATACCCCACATTCCATTCTTTGGTTTACCCTACATTCTCATTTTAAACAGCTGTACATGGAAGAAGCAAGGAAGCGCATGTGTATGGAAGCTGAGGACCATCTTGTCACGTTCTACCAAGCTTTGAGAAGCGGATTATGTTTTGCAGGAAGTCATTTCTGAGCATTATGTGGTTCCATTGATATTGCTGAAGGAGGCCATGGCGGATAAAAACACGGAGGGATGCATTCAAGCGCGTGTATACGCAGTGGAAGAACGAGCGCGGGTTTTACGTCAAACGGACTGTGTTCGAGGGGTTGGGGGTTCCTATGAGTGGCTTGCGGGCAGCGGAAATCCACATTGACACTGAGCTCAAGGAGGATCTCTGGGGGGAGTATGGCCCGAGTGAGTAAACACCTGCCTGACCTTTTCCCCCCCCCCCCCCTCCACTTTGTTTCACCATCTCAGCCCTAGCACCCGTTTCTTGCAAAACCCCCATATCTGTACTCCATAGCTTGGCGTTTCCTTTACATGGACCGTTGTAGAAACCTGTGATTCGCCAGCTCATCCACGTTCTTCCCTTTTCACACCCCACCCATTGAACCACCTTCGTTCGACTGTGTTGCAGGTGCCGACGCCCAGCTGAGCACATGGGGAAATGCTGAGGTTACTGATCTCCCGTTCGGCAACGAGATCTTCTTCAACGCAGCAATGGACGCCTTCGGTGAATTTGCCGTGGGGAATGACATATGCTTGAAGGCGTATCATATTGCCTGGACTATCTTGGTGGTGAGTGGCTTGTGAGGGTCCTTTTACTTGTTTCTCATCCCACACTTTTCTCCTTGGTAAACCCGTGCCATCCCGTGTAAACCTTAAACCCCCGTGTTTCCACCTCCCTCTCAGGTGCTTCTTGAAACCTTGGTTTCCACCTGCCCAGGGGAGTTGCGCCCACTCTGGGTTCACGATTTCACTCACGGGCTTACGTTGTTAATATTTTTCACCAATCCCCTCACGTCCATGCAGTACCCATCAGTATCCTTCCCCTCCCGTGTTTCTGAACACTCTTTGGTTTCCTCTTCCTTTCAGAAGCTGCCCCACTCCTCTATCACCTTTCATGCTCACACTCTACCACCATGGCATACTTCACTGGATGTTGTGCTTGCCCCACATGATTCCGACCTCTCACACTTATCACGCTTGAATCTGTCCATGCTCCCCTATTTTGACAATGCAGATTGACTACGGCTTGTCGAAGGTCAAGAAGTCGACGATGAACCTCACAAACTCCCACCGAAAGAACACGCGGTGGGTGGCAAGCATCCGCAGGGCGGTGAAGCAGGCGGTGACGGATCATTTCAGCCACGTGAACCCTGTCTACGACCCACGGATGAAGGGGTTTAAGTGGGGGAATTTTGGCTTGTTCGTCCATGAGTCGGGGTTCGAGGAGTATAGGCCGAGACCACAACCCCGCAATCCGACAAGGAGGGTGGCGTCAGTGCACGTCTAGAGGAGATGAATGGTGGAATTGCGGTGCTCGAGCTTGGAGTAAGAGGGAATGGGGGGACAGGGGAGCCACAGCAGGGAGGGGAGGAGAGGAACCACAGCAAGGAGAGGATCAGGGGAACCATAGCAGGGAAGGGAGGAGAGGAACCAAAGCAGGGAAGGGAGCAGGTGAACCACAGCAGGGAAGGGAGGAGAGGAACCACAGCAGGGAGAGGAGCAGGGGAACCACAGCAGGGAAGGGAGGAGAGGAACCACAGCAGGGAGAGGAGCAGGGGAACCACAGCAGGGAAGGGAGGAGAGGAACCATAGCAGGGAGGGGAGCATGGGAACCACAGCTGGGGAGGAGAGGAACCACAGCAAGGAGGGGAGCAGAGGAGCCGCAGCAGGGAAGGGAGGAGAGGAACCACAGCAGGGAGGGGAGCAGGGTAACCACAGCAGGGAAGGGAGGAGAGGAACCACAGCAGGGAGGGGAGCAGGGGAACCACAGCAGGGAAGGGAGGAGAGGAGTCACAGTAGGGAGGGGAGCAGGGGAACCACAGCAGGGAAGGGAGGAGAGGAACCACCGACCAGGAAGGGAGGAGAGGAGTATCAGCAAGGAGAGGTGCGCAGGAGTAACAGCAGGGAGGGGGGCACACTAGTAACAACATGAGGGGGGGAAGCAAGGATTGACATCAAGGGGGCGGGGTTAAGAAATAATAGCACAGCAGGGAGGATGCAGCGGGGGAGTAGCACAGCAGGGAGGATGCAGCGGGGAGTAGCACAGCAGGAGAATGTAGTGGGGAGTAGCACAGCAGGGAGGATGTTAGCGGGGAGTAGCACAGCAGGGAGGATGTAGTGGGGAGTAGCACAGCAGGGAGGATGCAGCGGGGAGTAGCACAGCAGGGAGGATGTAAACAGGGAGTAGCACAGCAGGGAGGATGAAGCAGAGTACGGACCTAGGGTTGATAGTGGGTAGTAGTAGTGCAGGTGCATTAACCGAGGATGATTAGTAGAGTAGCTAAGAACCAGAGAATAAGTAGGCATCTAATGTGTCGTAAATCTTTCAAGCTAATATTATGATTTACACGTACATGCCTTCCCTCTTACGGTGTATATTTATGGAAAGTGCTGAAGAAACTACCAACTGGGTTTTTTCAAACTCCGATTATGTTTATTTATA